ATTTTTATGCTGAGCAAAGATCCTACTGATATTTCACATGGTAACAGACAATGAGCTTTCAGTTCAGACAAATATTTCGGATGACTGAGTTCAAGAGATCAGAATAGGTTATCTAGTGTGTTCCCAAAAACCAAGTAACTTTTCAGATCTTTTTAAAACATATATATATATACCCCCATTCCAACACATCATAATGTGTAGGTTCCCCAGAACCATACACCCAACCCAACACATCATATAAGGCCCTGAGCACAAAGCCGAGGAACCTGCGAAACTTCTTCCTTCAACAATACCCCCCAATTAAAACATTTTCCATCCGTAAACGGATATATCAAAAATCAAAACATAAATCAGGTCAAGTATCATATCAGAAATCATGTCAAGTAACATATCAGAATCTAAGTCAAGTATCAGATCAGAATCCATGTCAGATATCAGATCAGAATCCAGGTAAAATATCAGATCAGAATTCAAATCAAAAATTAGATAAAATATTCATGTAATATTTATGTCGTTCAGGTACTGACATAGCTTTAGGGTTGATCTACTCACTTAAGTTTTATTCCATAACTTTTAAAAGTAGTCCAACACCTATGCTTATTTGGATTCCTTAATTAATCCAAGATATTTACTTAATATAGGTCATAAGGGTATTTTGGTAATTTTGGTATTCAGTTTTATTCCATTCATTTCAGACCTCGAGGATATCCAATCATTCTTGAGCTTGGTGGTATTCTTGGTCATTGTACAAATTCAGTGTACTTTAATCATTTCATTCTGTCTGATCTTACTATTAAATTTAATCTTATCATTTATTTCACTCCTTTCGAACAATTTAGACAACAGAACAACCCCAACAAATTATTCTTCTGGTATTTACTCATAACTCAGATATTTCCGGGTCAAGTGCCTTCTCAGATTTTACAAACGGAATATCAGGAATTTTCCTGCACTAAGTCAGGATCTTAACAATTAAATCCGTACTTAATCGAGATAAGTACGAATCCCCTAAGTATTTTCTCATTCAGAGTCAACTCAGACTATTCTACCTCTTAAGGGTATTTCCGTAATTTCTTAACCAGATAATTTCGATATTAACTCTTAACAAAAATAATATAATTTAGAGATCCCATGATTAATTGCTTTCTTGAACACTCTCTGATCTTGAAACAGTTCTCTTAACAAACTTTTAGTATCCTTCACAAACTCTCATAGGATTAAAACCGGTTATCCATAATTTCCAAATAAAACTAAATTTCTTATGCACATCAATATTTTTATCAGATCAATATGTCTGTAAAATCCTCTTATCTAACTTCCATATTCAAATCCTGTCTTTTTATAACATAAGGGTATTATCGTAATTTTATCCTACCGGAGTATTCTCATAATTTCTCATCCAAGTACCTTTAACATTTAACCTTTGATGAAATAAATTATAAGTTACAGATACAGGGCTGATTTCTTTATCACTAATCACAAACTTGTAATTTAATCTAACAATTCCTCAATCTCTTATATTAGTCATTCGATCCGTAATTATTTACAGAATTTCTACCACATCATATCGAGTGTATAAATTATTCAACTCCACCAAAGTGACCAACATTATCTTGTTCATGCATTTATCAATATAAACATGTTTCATAAAGCATAAAGAGGTAGTAAAGTATTACCTCGATTTTCGTGCAATACTGATCTACCATAAAAATTCCATTCGCACGCCTTTGATCTTCAATTCAACTTCCAATAATTCCTCAGATACATATCAACATAAATTATATCAGAAACGGAGCTTAATTGCGATAAACGGATCGAATCGGGTGATAAATCAGTGAAAGACAGCTTACCGGGTTCGAATTTGGCGAAACGGACTTCGGATTCGGATTCAGGACGTCAAAAGCATAAAATATGACTTTTCGGAAATTTGGAATTTTCGGTCAAAATCAAAGTCAACAGGTTTGATCGGTAATTTCGAGGCCTTCGGATTCGAATTTCGAAAAACGGACAACGGAATCGGATTTGGAACGTCGAAAAATGTCAGGATAGGTATACTCGGTCGAAGTCAAAGGTCGTTTAATGCACGGTCAAAGCCGGTCAAAGTTTTGGTCAACAGTGGTCAACGCCGGTCAACGGTCAACGGTCAACGGGTCGGGTCAACAGGTCGGGTCGGGTCGAGTCGGGTTATGACTGGTCAAACCGGTCAACTATGCACCAAAACCGGTCAAACCGGTCATTTTTCCTTCCCCACGCGCAGTGGCTGCGCGTGAACATTGCTCTGATATCGGAAATATTCCTAAAAATTATTTTAAGCGATTTCGAGATACTTACAAAGCTCGGTTCAATTTTTTTAAACGGCGGAGAGCTCGATTTCAACGAATCGAAAAATTTGATCGCTTCACCTCCACACGCGCCGCCGCCGCTGGAGAAAAGGGAGGACACCGGGGGACTCGGAACGGCACAAGGATCACGATGGTGCGGGAGATGTCGTAAACGGATGACCCGATCGTCGTGAATCGATGAAAAAACCAACTAAAACCCAGTTATTACCGACGATACTTCCGACTGAAATTCACGACGAACAGCGATGATTCACGACGAAAGGTTTGAGGGGTTTTGTTCCTCTGTTGACAACGAACACGATGGTGGTTTTGGCTTGTCGATCGGAGGTCAGACGGCGAGTAGATCGGAGTTCGAAGTAGGGCGAACGTGGGAGGGAAATGGGAGGAATCTGGAAAACTGAGCACGGGTGGGGAGTTATAATTCATCCCATAATAAAAATGGGTAAACCATGAGTTTAGCCACTGAACTTCCTGCACTTCATAAAATAGTCTGCCAACTTTAAAATTTTACAATTTAACCCACAGTTTCCTTTAAAATACCAATTAAATCCTCCACTTTTTAATTTCTTAATTTTAACCCCTAAATTGGAGTGTTACATCATCACACAGGCTCATAGTTTCTGGTCATATTATTCACATTCTCTGACTTATCTCTTATGCTCTGGTAATCACTACACGTATTTCACATATAAACACCTAGATCACTTTCACATAGCTTATATAAGTTTTCTGAATCCTTTCATATTACCTGATAACATATATCATATAGATATATAATAACTTATCTCATTTCGTCTACTTTATACTTTATTTCTTTGTATTCCCTTAGATTATATAACTTATGTCGTATTTCTAAACATATATATTATACTTAATAGTATTTTATTTATATACTACTTTAATTTATTTAATTAATTCAATTTCATATATTCTTTATAACCTTTTCATATAACTCCATAGATCTTTAGCATATAATTTATCCTATATATATATACATATCATCGCTTTATATTCAAGTTCCCTAATTGATATATTATTCACATTCCATTTTATAATTCAATCTTATTTAGTTTCCTCAATTCTCATTAAATCAAATAACTCTATTTTACTAATTCTCATAACCATGTATTCACATAGTCTTATATTTCATTATCATATTACTTATATTTATTCTCCTATGATTCTTCAATAACCTCTATTTCCATTTCCCTACATCTCTTGACTTATCTTCTATATTCATATAATTTCATAACTTATGTGATATTCTCTCATTAACACTTAATAGTGTTTGTACATAAACCACATAGCACATACAAAACATATCAATTCATATAATCAAGCATACATACACTCATATTCAACTCATGCCTTTAATCATGAATTCATATGTAACGCTTCAGGAAATAGACTCATCGCAAGTCTTCTTCCGATCACCCATCATACACTATTGAATATGCACTCACTTGGACTCTTAAGTCAATTCCAATCTCTTATCTTTCCCTTTGATCGATCTTACTTGACAATGATTCCGGAACTCGTTTAGGCTCTGAATCTACATAATTATACATTTTAAGGCAATTATTAGATACCTACACCTTGTAATTTGATACTAGAAACTTAACTGAACTCATTAAACCAATAATAACTTTTTCTTTTAGGGGGAATCGGTTCTCTACTATGGGGGAATCGGTTCCCCAAAGACATTCTGGAATTTCTTGTTCAGTTGAGGGGGTATCGATTCCCCTAGCCCAGAAATCATGTTTTGAGCTCGAAAATCACTTCATTTTCAGCTCCACACTTCCTATTTCACTTCCTTTAATATTCTTAACTCAAATATACATACTTAAACTAATTTATACCCATTAATTTCATCTTAAACCTCAAAATTCTATTCTCCATATAGAAATCAATAATCATACCAAATTTTACATATTACCCAAACTTAATTTTAACACTTCTAGCTTCTTATTCTCATAGATGACAAGTCAAATTCATCCTCTAAATTCATGTAAACCTTCTTATTCAAAATTTCACTTAAAAACTCCAATTCTTCAATCTCTTCTAACTCATTTATCTTTTGATTTTAAGATAACTTAAGTTTTCCTTAAGTTTAGTTATCATCTAATTATCAAAACTAACTCATAAAATTAACAATTAATTGATTAACCAGAAAACTCACCTTTGCCTTGGAGCCTTCACGGGAGGAGAGGAAGAAGAAGAAAGAAGAAAGAGTTTCCAGATAACTCTTTCCCCCACCCCCACGTGATTCATATTTATTAAGGGGAAAAATATCTTTCTTGTCAAATGACCATTTTGCCCTTTAATTCCTTTAATAATTACTAACAACTTTAAGGAAATATCTACATATAAATCATTGAACTATTCAACTATCCTATTTTTACCCCCAAATTTTAAAATTTTACAATTTAATCACTAACCTGGTATTGAGGATGTTACACCAACTTAAGGACTCCTTTCACTTAAATGATTTTTTACAATCCTAGTAAATGGAATTAAACATAAAATTAAACATCAGTGCATAATGTTAACAAAATAAAAGTGTTAAATTAACAAAAGTATAGCAAAGACTAATAATATGATTCAACTACCTTCTATTCACTATCATTACCAACAACGTTGATTTCTAAGCTAATACAAGCGGCCTCTGGGGCAAGTGGAATCTCCCCATAGTCTAAAAATTGAATTGCATCAGGATCGTAATGAAAGAAGCCAAAATCATGAAGCTAATAAAAAAATATAGTGTTTTCAGTTAGCAGGATGTATAAATAATAGTTGTTGTTGAAAGAACACAGAAGAAAAAAACTAACTTCTATGCAAGGCATATAAAGCGACAGACGATCTAAATACAACCAAATCAAGTAATTTCAATCAATATAGGCTCAAAAATCAAGCCTTCCATGGAAAACAACAAAAATTATACAGATAGGTAATAACAGTACATTTCAGAAGTCACGTCAAGAAATCCTAGTGCATAAAAATGAACTAAATAATACCAAAATAAGATAAATGCTATGTAGCAGAGTTTACTCACCGGATCTCTATATATAGGATGCACAGTTATTTCTTCTCGATTTACAAACATTACTTCGGCAACAATAGGTCCTAAAAACAGACAAAACAGAGTCATTTTTCTCAATTTACAAACATTGTTTCCAACATTTTAAAGACACAGACAATACCATTCAACTATTGTCTTTTTGTCTATTATCTGCTTTATTTTTCTTCAAAAAGTTGCTCAAAAGTAAAAACTATAGTCGTAAAAATAAAATCATACTCAAGAATAAATATGAGCATATAGCTAAAAAATTCAACAATCAAAGTATCAAACATAAGTGATCCATTGATCCGTGCAACAACAAAATCATTCATTTAATTACTCAAAACAATTAAATTTATATATTTTTTCAATTACTAATAAGCGACGAGCTTTTTCACTTCTATCTGGAGAAGCAAAAGAGGAAACAACAAAAGTATCAAGCAAAGCCAACACAAAGAAGAATTAAATAAAGAAATTAAGTGTTGACGGAAGTCGACCTGGTTTGACCACATGGCGATTAGTGAGAATAATCCCCCTTCGCTTATCAACGACAAAACCAATAGCATAACTAGTACCGGTAGGCTCCGTATCAAAAGCACGGCAAGCAGTAGTACGGAGGACGAGGACAACCAGAACAACTTTATTGAGAACATTCCGCCAATCATCGGCAGTAGCGAGGTTCTCTCTGAGCGGAGGATCGATGTCGATGGAAAGTTTTTCCTTGATCATTTTTAAGTTCTGAGAAGAAGGGACAGAGTGTTTCCTCCAAACTACGCTCGGCATTCTCCTCATCACAATTTTCTTTCAGCCATAACCAAGCGGGGAGAAGGGTACTTTAGACATGGTTTAGTAAAAGTAGTGAATAAATAATGATTTTATTTTCATGTAATAAAAAATAAATTATAAGTCGAAATATACTTTAAAATAATTTTTTTTAAATGTTAGAACAAGAGTGTTTTCAAAGGAAACAAATTTTTAGGGAAATTTCAGTTCAATAAATGTTTTCAAGTTGATGTGACATCTTTAACTCGTATATCGAGACATATACGGGTTAAGGGTGTTACATTTATTGGTAACAGAGTTACAGGTTTAGCCGATTCTTGGCCTAAACCGAGCCTATATTATATCAGAAATATGTACATGCCACTAGGATGTCGAAATTAGTTATTTGGTATGGTTTGATGATTTTATTTATAATGATGCTCCTTACTAACGTAAGTTTGTGCTTTTGTTTAGATGTCGGGTTCGAAAGGCATAAGATGAGACACCAAACAAGAGGTTCCCGAGGGAACCGATAGTTGGAGTAGTTTCATTGTTACAAGGTCAGGCTCGTATATGGTGGACGAACGTGACGACAGGTGTTCCTCCAGATCAGATCACATGGCAGTTTTTCTTAGAAGCGTTTTAGAATAAATATATTGGAGAACAGTTTATTACTCAGATGAAGCATAATTTTTTTAATCTGATCCAGGGTGGTAAATCTGTGTACGAGTATGAATGTGAGTTTAATAAACTTGCTCGATATGCCTCAGAGATGGTTCCCACCGAGAGAGATATATGTCAGAAATTTATTCGAGGTCTCCGTCCCAGACTCAGGGAACTTTTGTTGGCTGCAGACTTAACTACTTTTCAGGAAGTGGTGAATAAAGCAAAAGATTTGGAAATAGCGCAAAATGAGAATTTTCTGATAGAGTGGAGAGGACAGTCTAAAAGATCAGGAGCATCATCCTTATCCCAATCTAAAGAGGTCGAGGTTCAGGATATCAGTACCAGAATAAATCAGAAGTTGGTGCATCTAGTCACAGAGGATCCGAGGTTAAGGAAAAAGGGCGTCAGGTACAAACAATGGCTATAGGAGCTGGCAGATCAACTTAGTCTCATGGCCAACACCCATCATGTCCGCGGTGTGGAAAATATCATTCTAGTGAATGTAGAGCATGATCAGGAGTTTGTTTTCATTGTGGAGACCTTGGTCATTATATCAGAGATTGTCCGATGGTAGGAGAGAGATCTGTTCAGACAGAGCGGTCAGTGGTAATGCCTCAGAGAGGTGGTCAAGGCAGAGGTAAAGGAAGAGGATATTCAGAGTCAGCCTCCCAATTTGATGTTCGTGCTCCAGCGAGACTTTATAACATCAAGACTAATGAGGACTCTGATGACCCAGAGATCATAGCAGGTATCTTCTATCTTTCCTTAGAAAAGACCAATTTACCTTACTTCATTTAATATTTACTAAATAATCCTTCACAAAATATTCTAATAAATCCCTCAACTTTTTAATTTTTTGAAATTGATCACCAAGTTTTAAAAACTTACGTTTTAGTCACTAGCTTGATTTTTAGGATGTTACACAGAGCTTCGTAAAATAATAATTTAATGGCAAGATTTTCTACAACTTTGTTCCATTCGGGAACTTATTTCTATACTTCCTTCAATGCCAAGATCAAGAAAGATGAGTTATATGATATTATTTAAATAGAGCTTAAAAAAGCTACAACATGATAGGTGTCTTCATTGCAAGAGAAACTTCCCATTGTTGAGCATAAACCTAAAGTACATTACATATTGACCTTATCAAGTGTAAGCGACCTTCGGAAGATGTTTAAGGCTTATACACGTGCTAGTGGTATGAACATCGAACTGACTGTAAAATTTGAGGAAAAACATATTCATCAAGTAACGCATAAGCAACATCTTCATAAAGCAACATAGAAGCAACTCGGTTGTCACAAAATCAAGAGGAAGTGATAGTTATACCCGTAAACTTCGAGATAATAAATAAATAATTAAGGAGCTTAACTTAACATCAAACATTTATACAGACTACGAAGACACAGAATCAGACTCTTCTATTCATTTCAAATAATAGGAACATTGCATTGTTCTTTTTTATTATGTTTAGAGATTAATATTTAAACATCAAGTATTTCAACTAATAAGAACAAATTATTTATGCATCGAACCAAAAAACTAATTATCATATTGTTAAATGATAATTTAAACATTGAGTATTAATAATTTAAACTTAATTAATATAATAATACTAGGAATCATATTCCTGACATGGCAGGGACCTCTCGTTGTGTAGAAAACGATTACTGCAGATATTCCTAACATGGCAGCACCCTCACCATAGACATTTGATTTGACAATGGGCCTCGCATTCTGCAAGGCATGAGGTTATTTAAATTTATTTAAATATATAAGCGATACGACAATCATGTTGAGCAATTATCTTCGTAAAATATATTTAATGACAATATTTTTTTCTACAACTGTGTTCCATTCTAGTACTTATTTCTACACTGTCTTCAATAAAAAGATCAAGAAAGATGAATTGTATGATTTGATTTCAACAAATATTAAAAAAAATCTACAACAAGACAAATGACTTCTTTGCAAGTGAAAGTTCCCGTTAATGAGCCCAACCCTGAATTACATTACATATTGATCTTATCAAATGGAAAAGATATTCAGAAGATGTTTAGGGCTTACAATCATGTCAATAGTATGAACATCGAGTTGATAGTAAAATTTAAGGAAGAAACATCTTCATCAAGTAATGGAGAAGCAACTCGATTATCCCAAGACCAAGAGGACGAAGAGTCAGTTCTACTACGTTATACCCGTAAACGTCAGGACCAAGAGGAAGAAGTATCTTCATCTCCATCAAACTTTTCTGCAGAACACAAAAAAAATCTTATGACTCATCTTGTATTCATTTCAACTAACCATAACTTCATGTAGTTCTTTTTTTTTAGTTTTATAAATCTATATTTAAATAAATTATCATGTTATTGAAGGATAATTTGATTGATATTTTGAATATTTGATCTATCAAAACTTAATTAATAATTTAATTTTTTTAATATTATATTTGAATATTATTTTAAAAAAAGAAACTAGAGTTCGATTAATTAAAAAAGTTACAATAAGGTTTTTAAGCATCACATATTTTTCATTTCACAAAAAAAAAACAACTAATGATGCATATGTCCACCCGTACCGCACCATGGTGGATGACGAGTCCGACGATGATTCCTATGAATCAATCTATCTTCATCAGCATCAACATCACCATCATCAACATCAACATCATCACCACCACCACTTCCACTACCACCATTATCATAATCGTTGTTATAGCCATCTATATGTCCAGTACCACCACTGACACTGAGACCAGAACCGGTGTAGAACATGCTCTACGGCTGCTTCTGTTCAACACTATTGGAGCTGAAGTCTGTTACCAATGGTTGAACAGATGCAGACAGAGGTGATATATAATATGGTTAAAATGGTGCATGAAGGCAATGAGAAGTGACAATGACCTTCGGATAAGAACGAAATGTTTTGGTGAAAAAAAACCTTTCTTCGAAGGTGTCATATGTTGAAATGTTGACTGAATCGAGTAGGTAAATGCGTGTGGTGTTAGTGGTATTTGTTCCTCTGTAAATGCATGTGTCGTTCCCGATGACGAGGTTAGAGTGTATTTTCTTCTACTCTAACTTGATTATTCTCTAGCACCATGTTGAGTAAAAGGACGTTGCATCGATAAATGATTTTGGGGAGGCACATAAATTTCTCGTGCTCACCCCTCATTGGTTAGTATATGTGGTTTCCCATATTGTTCATACCACAACATGTAGTCACTTGAAACACTGTAGTCGAAGATGGGTTGAGAAACAAGCCACCTATGTAGTCTCGCCATCTATTGCATCACCCGTTCCGTATGATGTATCTCTCGATTAACATTCATCTTCCCCTATCCCATTTTGTGATGCAAGACGTTCAGGACTGGTGGTGTTAGCGAATTCGTTTGGACACAGTTAAATTATTGCAACATACGATCGATAAGATGCCACTTTACTGTCTCATAGACTATCAACGGGAACATCGACATCCGAACTGAGATCTATTTCAGTTGGAGCACATGATCTAATACTATCATCATTTTATGGCGTCCACAAAAACTACACTAATATTTTTAAACTAAGTTAGATAATGTAACCCCCACAAACAGATGCGAGTGGCCTGATCAGATCTGGGGTATCAAATTAGGGCCATCGGAGTAACCCACCGTAAAAATATCAGAAAGATTAAACTTTTTGTTAAAACACTTAAAATCATAAAACAATTTATAAATGCAACAATAAAATTTAACAGTATTCAGAAATAAAATAGATTTTCAGACTTGTATATAAAACAAAATACAACATATATTCCCCCTAATCACATACACCGCACTCCGCAAACAACGCCGGTGGAACACCTATACTGATATCTGAAGCTACACTGGTTCAATTTTCTTAACCTGAAAAGGTGAGTAATAGAGTGAGCTTTGGAAAGCTTAGTAATACAATACTACCGATTGATGCTACATGACATGCAGATAAATGGAAAGCCATAAAATTTCCTTGTAATTCATATGTATATTGGTTTTTAGAATGATCTACAATACCACTGATATTTCTTCGAGTAACAAGCATGCAGATTTCAGTTCATAGGAATCATTCAGAGTATAATGTTTTTAGAAGATCGAATATGATGTCTAGTGTGTTCCAACCAAAACCAGTGAAAAAATATAATATTTTAAA